GCCGGTATCCTCTTTCTCTTATCTTCTTCTCGCTTAGAAAGCTAGACAAAGAACGCCTAGTAACATTACTTATTCTTATTATTACAACTATATATTCCATGTAGTTATATGTTCTACTAATAGTTAACTATGGTCCAAATAGTTAACTATTTACATCATGTAGTGATCTATTTACATCGTGTAGTAAACCATGTTCTACTCATAGTTACCTATGGTTTACTAATAGTCAACTAACATAATAGTCAACTATACACACTATATTATTAATTGAATAGCTAACTACAACAACATAAAAAATAAAAATATAGTCAACTATACATAGTAGAAATTTTANCTAACTACAACGACATAAAAAGTAAAAATATAGTNAACTATACAAAGTAGGAATTTTANCTAACTANAACAACATAAAAATTAGAAATATAGTCAACTATATTGGCATATGAGATAACTAAATCAAGATTGATTTGCATCAATCAAGATCAATCTCAATTTTTTTCCCTTCAAAATTATGGTGTATGTGTAAAGATTTTTAGAGATTTTGACTATTTTCCTTAAAATAAATGATTTTGACTACTTTCCTTAATATTAAATTTTGACTATTTTTACCACTTTTCCTTTGTCAATTTTCGCAGAGACAATTTTGTCCAATTTTTTCTTCTCTCTGCTATATACCTAAATTTTATTATGCATATGTTAGTTTCCTAATTATCTACTCTATAACTAATATTGAGCTAATTCACCATTTTTTAATTAATTTTTTCCTTTAACTAAATAGTCCTTTTTTTGTTAAATATAAAGGAGTTAGGCGGTTATCAAATTTAATTGGATGGTGTTGGCCCGTTGGGTGGTAATATATTAACTTGTGAAATCATAATTTTCAAACATCGATTTCTTGCCTCATCGAAAACATGTCCTATCGTGAAAAGCAGTCCCTTCATGAAGAGCACGAGCGACGCAGAGACAAGAAAAGAGCACGTAGCTGTGACCCAATTCTTACTGGTACTAAGGTCCCTGATTGTTGTGTTCCACTGCGGTCACCACGGCCTTTCACAGCCGTCTTCTGGGACCTCGAGGATTGCTCGATCTTCGACAAGGATTCTACTTTATTAATATATCAGAATATAAACTCAAATCTTGCGAGTAAGGGTTATCGTGGTAAGATGTCAATATATGCTTATGCTGAGAAGAATAAGCTGTCGGATAAATTGATGTCTGACTTGCCTGATGCCGGAATCACCTTGCCTCCGGAAGGTGACTTCTTTAACACTCTACTGTCTTTTTTACTTTAATAAATGTCTTTTTAATCAATTCTATATATCTCTTGTTGATATATAGTTCCAGGGCATAAAAATGCGAGAGTTCGTAGGATGTTATATGACATTCTTTTATGGTTAATAGACAATCCTGTGCACCATCATGGACCTCAACGAGCAAATTTGATAGTAATCTCAAATAACATCAGAGAAGAAACACAGTCATGGGATTCTCTTTGTGCTATGAAGGGGAGAGGTTACCATGTTCTCTTAGTAAACCGTGATGGTAAGCTCCCATCAAGAAGCCTTCGTACTGCAACTACCAAATGGCTTTTCAAGAAGCCTCGTGAATGTTCAGATAGACGTCGGAGTAGAAAAAGGGATGAGAGTGATAAAAGCCATAGACTTTCACGTAGACGAAAGTAGATGTTGAAGGTTGACGAAAGTTGCTACAATAGTGTACTGCCAAGCTCATTGCAGGAGAGAAGAATAAGATTGATTACTCCTGCGCGCTTAATCAAAGGCTAGGATGAGATGATATATTGATTTCTCTCATGATTCTTGAGCATTTTTGTTTATTATTCTTACTATGTTTTACCAGAATCAGCTTAGCTTCGATTGCTGAACTTGGTAATGTTAGAATGTCTCTAGAGTTTGGGAGTTAGGGTACTAAGAACATAGCAATTAGCTTTAACATGATCTTCAAGATTGGATTGGTATTGCAATATTTTTACACACACTTACTTGGCAAGCAAGGAATACATAAGATAAACCCTTCAAACCCTACAAACATACTTGTGGGTTTTTTCTTTGTTTTATGGATTTGGATTCTGAAATTTTTGTTCTTGTTGTTTTGCTTGTGTTTGTGCGTGATTTGTCATTTCCATTGATATTGTGATGGTTGGTTACAAACTTAGAATCCATGAAGCCTTGCACTACAAGAAAATAAGTCACTTTCTGACCATTTTTTTGACCAAATAAATGGTCGGAAATATTTTTGATCATTTTCCAACCTTATTCTGACCCGTGTAATAAGTAGTCGGTTTGTGGTCGGAAATTCTCAACCACAATATGGCATCGGAAAGTCGTCGGCGTTTCCTAACCAATTTCTGACGAAATTAAAATTGTCCGAACGATGATCAGAAAATGGTCAAGCAATGGTCGGAACAGATTTGAAAATAAAGCTTTTTACAATCGTTTTAAACCATTTGATTGTGGTGAGGAAGTGGTCGGAAACTGGTTGGGAAATGTTTTGAATTTCCGACGACACTCCAACAAATTGAATAGCATCGAGTAATCGTCGAGAAATGGTCAAAAAGGGGACATCACATTTTGAAATATAGTCGTTTACGACCGTTTTGTGGTAGGAAAATGGTCAGGATATTGGTCGTAAAGTGGTCGGAAAGTGGTCGGAACGTGGCAAACATGATTTTCACTGTGAAAACAATTGGCTATATATATAGCTCTTATTTTAGATGTGCAAGAATATAATTTCAGAACAAACTATAAAATGTCTTCCAATACAAATGATTT